ATCAACAGGGAGAAAAAACTATGAGATTTTTGGGAAGGTGCTGAATGAAGTAGGATTGTTGCACGGGATATTTTTTCCGGTCCATTATTTCTGTGTGTATATACAGTTTTGTGTATTCGTCTCATGCTGTGTGGGTAAAAAGCTGTGTAGAGTAAATTAGATGACAGAAATAAAGAAGCCATTTTGAACAAGACTTGCCCTAAGTTTTTAGAGAAAAAACTGAAGAATAATTTTCTTTAAAAGTACAAAGCATTTTTCAGTAGGGAAAATAATTACTTACTCTGGAATGTGAGCAGGGCACTAGATACCTGACCTGTAATTTAGGAAAATACTGAAGGGTTTTTCATCAGTAATTATTATTATTACAGTAGAACTGTGGGGCCCCAGTTGAGCCCAGGACTCTCTTGTGCTAGGCACTATCTAGCAAGAGATAACCGCTGCCACAGGAATCTCGCAGCAAAGGCAAAGCAGACCAAAGAGGAGAAGGGAGGAAACGGAGGTAGAGAGAAGTGGAAGCCCAAGATCATGCTGCTCACTAGTGGACGCTGCTGCCTTGCACCGATAACTCACCTATAGCCACTTCATCCGAGTTCAGCCTGAGCTGTCTGTCACCTTTGGTGACACGGCATGCCCGATCGGAGAGAATGGCCATGATTTCAACAGGTAATGCCGTCTGTCTGCGTGAAAGGGCGTCTCGAAGGAGCAGCCATGGGACGGCCATGGACAGGCCATCCTGTACAACATGGGAATCGGGTACACAGATCTTCCTTGAAAGGTTCAGGGTAGGTTCTGCTTAGTGTATGCAGGATATGAGAACATACATTTTTAGGGCCATAATGATGTCATGGTTGGCTCTCTGGTTTGCCTTAGTGTAATCAACAAAGTATAAGATGCTTCAGACTACAAAGCATTTGCTCGTGAAGCAAATCTTTGCACTAGCAATTTTTTGTGTCAATAAAACATTATTTATGGGGGAAATAATGGATGAAGAAATAGAGAGTGTGAATAAGACCCTTTTTTAAAATGTGGTCACTGAATTCTTATAGAGAAGGAGCTATGTGTTAATTTGAGAAAACATGAACATCTTTAAATTCAGTTGCTCTTCTCATACGCTAGACCTTAATTTTGTTTAGAAAAATAATAATAATGCTTTGCTGCTGGAAATATGGCAGACTACGAATTTTCTAACTGAAGTAGGGATTGGTTCTACTTACCTGGTCAGTGGTCTTCTGCTTAGTTACTAGTTCTGCTAAACTTGTCTCAGTCTGTGAGTTCCAGTAGCCTTTTTTGGTGATGAATCACTGAGCTCGTATTTGATAGTGAGTGAGGCTGATAGAACTGTCCCCCAGGTAAATAAGCACTTGTATGATTTTTTTTCTCCCTGAAATAAGGGGCATGTCCAGTGGTTCCATAGCACTGCCACGTGTGTTCCTTTGCACAGCAACGAATCAAATAGATTTACACTTTATTCTCCAAGCTCACAGAGGCGATGGGGGGAAAAAAAAGAATGTTTGGAATTTGCAGTGCTATGTGTAGCAGCTCTGCTTCAGTGGGCGAAAATGTATGTGGGGTATTAGAGTTGGCAAAAGGGGTAGTGACAATAGAGAAACGGTGATGTATTTGATTGTGTAGCAGTAGAGAGGCCCCATCATTACCCACCATACTGGCCTTTCCTCATGACTTAAATTAAAAGGGTGAAGGGAAGAAGGCACGTGTTGCAGAACCTTTTCCATCTTGAAAGACACTGCCATCAAATTACATTTTCAGGCCGTTTTGTTTTACCGCCTTCTGCAGTGTGGTGATTCAGGAGCAATGGGAGGTTTCTATCCCAGCCGTTTTTTGCTCTTGGTTACCGCACATTGAGAATGGAAACCTGAACGTCTGAGACGTCTCTGTATTTTTAATGGTTTGCAATGGCTCAGTGCGTAACAGAGATGTATATGACTCCTATTGAACTTGTGGCACAAACTTGGTCAAAATCCTGAATTATCTATGGAAAGGCTGTGGTATATCAAGAAATAATGCCATGTTTTACCAGCATCATATTAATTACAGAGAGACAGGCATCTCATTTGGTGCTGCCTGTGTAGTAAAAGCGTCGTGCATAAATATGTTTGAGAATGCAGGTCGTGGTTTTCAAATACATGAAATTCTAATGAGCATTTGAGAAAACATTCACAAGTCACAGCAATTTCATAGACTTTGTCCTTGCTTTGTGTTACTATCATCTATAATTTTCCTTTTTTAAAAAAACAGTTGTCATGCAGCCAGGAAACCAAAATGATACCGTTTACATTAATTACTAATGGCTTTTCTACAGGCTACTGGGCTATATATATTGAACAATACAGATTAAAAATAGGGAACTCTGTTGATTCACTGTAGTTTCTGTTTGATATAATCCACGTTTTATCTTTAAGCTTGCCCTCACTGCTAAGAGACGTTTTATTCTTTTTATCCCTTGGATAACTAAGAGCAATCTTGATGCCAAAGCACAGTAAAGATTAGGCACTTAACTTTTTACCGCAAGGTAAACTCATTGAGGTCAAACAGTAGTTCCACCTGGCATTGAACCCGGTAAGTTTACCTTGTAGTACAACCTGAGTCTTCATTGTGCTTTTATCCTGGAATTGCTCCTGCACACCACCGTGCCTGCTCTTTATAATGCTTTTGTCTGGGGACAGTTCATGGGAGTGCTACTGAGTGACAAAAAATGCTGCTTTTTTAGCAGTGGAGGCAAGTGCTTTGTTTCAGCATAGAAAACATGATTTCCATCCACATAGACTTCAAAAGAAACAGTAGGAATTCTTGAGAGCCTGATTATCATGGCATAATCACATTATCAGAGAGATTAGAAGCACTTTACTGTGTCTTTATGGTTTAGTGGCACTCTATGGCACTGGACAAAATCTTCAAATGCTGTTAAAATCTTTCTCGTAGGGCACTAAGGCTTTTTACCGAGAGGCCCTGAAATCACAGAGAACATGTTTAATTCTTCTGTCAGAGAGCTGCAGAACTGAACACAAGCAGAATGTGTAGTTACTGGTCTTTAGTGTCTCTTCTCGGTATATTTCTCAAAGTGACCTGCAGCAGAGCAAATCAAAAGCCTCCTAAAATTTTAATTCCTATCAGTTCCAGTCATTGTGAAACACTGTCATTAACCAGGCAATCAGACTAATTGAATAGAGAAGCAATTCAAACGAGTAAGGAATGCACAGCGTGCTTTCTTTAGAAACCTTGGTGGACTCTGGGATGCTGTTCCTTTTGTAGGTGGTGGCTGGCTGTAATAGTGACGTGCCCATTTTTAGGATATGTCTCTCTACTGCTGTGCTGCCTTGAGGTAAACAGCCCACAACGCATGTCTTGTGAGATGTTGCCTGAAAGACTCTGAATAGTTTGTGACTATGGGAAATTAAAAAGTTAAAGCTGAAACTGAAAGTAAGAACACAGCACGTGGTTTTCATAACGTGTTCCTTGTTGTGTACGGTTGCCAAGGACCACTGAAGATTCGGGGATTAATGTTGTGATCGTATGGTTCCCAATATAAAGGATTCCATTGATAATTAGCCCAGAGTGGAGAAAGCTAAAAATAATCAACAGAAAAGCCTTTTCAGATGGGAGCCCGTGCCTCTGGAAGTGCACAGTATGGACAGTGTCTAGACAGAAAAGGTATGAAATATAAAACATGCACTTGACCTCAGTTAAAAGGCCAGGATGAAACAATTACAACAGAAGGAGTGACAGGGGGAATTGCTGCACTTTAAAAAGAAAACTACTCCAGTAGCGAAGAAACGTGCAATATGGGACAAAATGTTTTAGCCTAAACAGGTTCTAAAAATGATCCTGGCAAAAGAATTTTCAAAATCACTTACAGTTTATTTTGCTTTGCTTGATTATTAACATGTAAAAATGTATTTTTAAATTAACTGTAAAGTCTTTTACCTGCCAGGGCATGGAGCCAGGATTTTGTATGTCTCCAGCTGAGATTACTAAAACACTTGCAGCAGGGAGCTGCATTCCTTCTGCTGTTTAAGGAGTTAGGGAAATAGAAGGGAAACACACTGCCATGGGCATGAGTGTAAAGGAGAATTGAAAGGAGGAGGAATTTTTTTTTTTTTTTTTTTACTTCCTCCTCCTTTCTATACCTTTTAATGCAAGGCTTGATTCTTTGCATGGATAACTTCATGTAATCCACTGGCTGCCTTGTCAGTAGAAAGCATAGCCCTAAACTGCCATTTTCTACTGATACTTTGGGGTCTTAGAGTCTGTTGATCTCTTTTAGGTTCTCTCAAAATTAACCAAATGAAAGTAAAGGTATGTTAATACAAAACTCCATGTTAAGTGTTCGGCTGCCAAGAGGCAGCTTCTGAGTCTAATATGAAATCAGAGCACTCACAGCAACAGTTTTTGAACATTGGCTTGTTTCAGAAACAAGTACCAGACTATTCTGCACATGCATTTAGTGACAGAACAATGAAAGTTCATCAGTCACATACGAGTCTCTGCAGCTGTAGAAAAGGCTGCCATCTTCGGGCAACGCTCAGTCATTGCACCCTGCTTTAGGTGCTCGAGAAATCAAAATCCAAACCCCAACTATAAGGTAACCAGAAGAGCACAGTGGAATCAATCCCAGTCTTGAGCCAACCATTGTATTGGTTTCAAATACTCTGAAGTGTGCTTTCTGACTGCATGAGACCCATTCGCCTCTTGCCTCTTGTGTTAGCTTTCCGTTGTGCTTGATCTAAGGCATAAGCAAAATCTTTTTGTACTTTGCGACTTGGAAATAGAGCGGCAAACTAGAGAAGTAGCAGCCAGTTTGATCTCAAAACACTGTTGTCTTCCCTCATTCCTCCCTACAGCAATATGGGTAGTAATAAATCTTCCAGGAAAAAGGGGATACCCTGAGAGGCATCAAATTGTGTTAAAGATTGAGTTGGATAAAGTGATTGCAAAGGAGCTTGTGAGCATGATGCATTGACTTATTTTTTGTTGTATATTAGGGTCGACCAGGACCGATTGGGCTTCAAGGACCGATCGGTGCACCTGGATTTACTGGCCCAGAAGGTTTGCCGGGAGCAAAAGGTGAGAGAGGAGCGGTGGGCCCCCCTGGACCAGCTGGACAGAAGGGCGACAAGGTAAACTCAAAAGTAATTTTTGTGTCCTTGCGATAGATTTGTGGCATTGTATATATTTTTGAATAGATAAAGATAATCTTGGACTATCTGCCCAGGGGTAAGAACACAACGGCATTTCATTCGTATCTTTAGAGAATCCCCTGCTTTTATTTTTGAATGAGAATATGGTTCCTAAAGCTGCTGAATGTTGTAGCCATGCTGGTGGATGAAGCATCACCAAATGAGTATTGCTGTTGCAAGTAGTCTTTCACTTCACGTGCCCAGGGGTAGATGGGTGTTATTCACACTACATCCGGAGAGACCTGGAGCTGTTCCTGTGTAGAGGAGACTGAGTTGGTGTCTAGAAAAGCAGGAGGAATGGGTACTAAATGAAACCTGCAGTTCAGTTTTACAGGTGCAAAGTTATTTATAACAGAAGGAATATTGTAAACTATGAATAACGCATAAGGTGTGAATGCAGTGTGCAAGAATGGGCAGAACAGCAAACGTAGAAATGTCTCAATGCACTTAGGATCTCTTCTGCTGTGTCTTCTTAGGAAGGAGGTATCAAAGGGGGAGTTTGAAGCTGGGCAAAAGAATGAATGGAAGTGTGAACAAATACGTTCAGTAATAAGGAGTGGGTACACGTGGATAGTTCACCTGAAGGGAAGTTTACATTGTGTGCCAGGCATATGTTTGCATCATGACTTCTGGGTTGTGTGCAGAGGACTCATTGAGTCCCACCGCATAGGGCAGAGCGGCGTATGTGCTCCCACCGCATAGCCTGACAGAGGTTATGGAGTGGATTATAAAATGGGAATGTCTGCCATTGTCTGATGCCAGGGCTGGGATGAGATTCCTACTCTCAAACCTGGAACAAAAGGAAAGTTTCAAGGACAACATCATGAAAGCTTAAAAAAGAGAGGAAGTCCTACATGCTGTGTCTGGTTTCTAAAATCTGAAGGAAGTCTGGGACATCAGGACAAGGGCTTGCATTCTGGGACCATCCTTACTTGATGCAAGGGGCTCGGGTCATGTGTGCAAATAAGAAAAAGACAGATAGTTTAGGTACTAGGACCTGCAGAGCAGAGTTTGTCTTCCATGTTTTCCCAGCTGCTGATAGGTGAGCTAGCCAGATGAAGACTAGCTCAATTGTACTTTCATATGCTGCAGTTACACCCTCTTCTCATTTAATACTAGTCAACGTTGCAGTTCTAGTCACTCTTTCTCGTAAGACCTTACCACGTAAACTGAAAATGATGACAATGAAAGTCATTGCTTCGGTGTCGCATTCATCTGAAAGGCAGTGAGGTATTCAAAACAAGGACTGAGTGCCAGTATGGGTGATAGCATTTTCATAATTCTAGCAGATAACACTAAAATCATCAAACACAGTTTTTGAAAGACACAGAAACCTGGGATAGGAAGTGGCCTTTAACGACTGGAACCAATTTCCTTGCCCTGGAAAAATCCCTAATTTATGCCAGAACTGCTGTTTCTATCTATATGCAATAACAACATACAGTAAGAGTCTGTCTTTTTATCCTTCATGGAAGCAATATACTTTACCTTTACAAAATAAGAGCAGTTTAGGCTGGATATTCTGCTTACATGGTCTGTTTTGCTACTATCCAGAGCAGTAGAAGCAACAAAGTGGTAATTACTTGCAACTCAGCCAAGGATGATCTGAAGTTAATACAGTGGTCTGCATGTCTCTGGGTGGTGCTATCCAAGTGTAGACAGAAAAACCCGTAAGTCCTGTTGAAACTCATGGAAGGTCAAGTGTGACACTGAGAGCTGAGCTTATACTGGATTGTTTATTTTCCTGGCATCTGCTTTTCCCCAGATGTGCAGTAGGAGATTATATTTTTACTTTAAATTGCCTGATTAAAACATTCCTGAAACACTCATTTGGCATCCAGTCAAGCTCAGATGCTCAGTTCCTATCTTCACTGACCCCTGCGGTCAGAGAGAATCTGTGTGAGATAGTTTGCTCCTTTTGATTTCAAAAGCTGAAGTCCAAGACTGAAAATGTTGTGGTGAAAAGTATCTTACAGGTAACTGGAATATACAGCTTGATGAAGTGAAATGTAATGTGTACTCTTTTTCTTCAGGGCCCAATGGGAGTTCCAGGATTTCAAGGCATCAACGGGATCCCAGTAAGTTTGCCTATGTAAATATAAATCACCAAAATGTTGTCCAGGACCAAAAGCACATAAGCACAATGAGACTGTCCTTGAACGTGCATAGTGTATCTTACAGGTGCTTGCTTCTCTCTGGAAGTAAATGTCATTGTTTTTTAGTCTACCTGGTGATCCCATGTTGTTTTGTAAGAGGTTTGGATCCTGTCATGGGATGGTAGGAAGTTGGTACGTTTCAGGAAGTGAGCCTGAGTTACGTGGGGATCCACTGAATCATTGATAAACTTTTCTTTCAGCACCATGTTCTCTCAGCACCATGTCTAGAAAACACCATATCATAAAATCATTGACTTAAGGAATTGAAAGGGACCTCAGTCAAACAGGCATGATCAGCTGTGCCTCAGGTGATTTTTAGTATGTGTTTCCTAAGCAATTCTTCAAACCTTGTAATGGTGGAGACTGTAATTTCTCTTGCCTAACTTCAACCTTTCTGCAGGTTAAACTTCTTAGTACCTTACTCATCCTGGACACAGAGAGCAGATTGTTCCCTTTTGCTTTGTAGTAGCCTTCTTGTAGGTGATAACTGTTATCAGGTGTCCCTCAATCTTCTTTTGCTATGATGCAAATTAAGACACTGATTAGAGCTGGGGCCCTCCAGAGAATCCTTGCTTCTCCACTAGGTGCTAGTTCCGCTTTAGATCTGAGCCTTTCAGAAACCTAAGACATTAAAGAGGTAGTTGCTGCATTTTTCAGGTGATGGGGGTAGGTAACCAATTTCTCTGACCATCAGGAGGGGTTTTTTTTTGTTGTTTCTTTCATTCTTCAGAACTTTAACATTCCAGTAACAGTTGTTTCCTTTACCATACAAAAAATTATGTGCCTTGAGTGTTTTGACCAGATTTCTTTTGCTTTGGTTTTCCCCGGTGGCTTTTGCAAAGATGTTTTACAGACGCTTTACCTCAGAGGAGTTTTAGCTGGGCCAGCTTTAGAAGTTGCCACAAACTTCCTTGCTCTCTCTACACCGTTTAGCTCACTCTGCTTTCTCCTTCTGGTATTAGAATTCCTTTTCTATTCTTGATGACATTTTTCCATTTTCTGTATCCTTGTGCCTTCAGACTATACTCATGGTCTTTCTTGTCTTCCCTACTTCCTCAGCTGGCCAAGAGCTCCAACAGTTGGGCTGTGGTTTCTTACTTCCTATCAAAAACTGAATTGTTTTGATAGATTGGCTGAAAATGCACAGTTGGCCTGTAAATGAGCTTGCTTGATTCCAGTTCCTTCCTGGCCCTTGTCCTTCTCTCCCCCTCTACTCATCCTTGCCTGTTTTCTCTCCTGCTCTACTCCCTTGCTGCTGGTTTTTTTTTCATTTCCCACCAGCCAACTCTCCAGCTCTGAAAAGAACAAGCTGTTCCCATAACACTTAATTTAATTGAACACACTGTGGGAACATGCTGTTCTTAGGGTATTTTTTCAGATGAGGCTCTGGAGAAAGGGGATTCCCAACAATGAGGGGAGGCAGAGATACAGCAGCAGCTACTGCCAGGTAGTTGGCAGCAACAGGCATTCCAAGAAGAGAGTAGGGGAGGTAGATGAGAGGATTCAAAGCCTCCAGCATATGCAGATCTGCTCTGTCTGCTTTACAGTATTATGCAGGTGGGCAAATGGGAAAGAGGCAGATTTTGCTGCTCATGAACAGCAAAGTGCTTGCCACTGTGGCCCTTCTGTGCCACAACAGCAGGGCAGAAAAACGGGGAAGGGAAACTAGTTCATACTGTTTACATTCTAGCCTTTGAGATAAATACTTGCATTCTAGGGTGAAAATAGCAACCACCACTGCTTGAGAAAATATTTATGCTTTTGCCAGTTGCATTTCAGGATAGGGAGTACCTTAGGTTTGTTGTGAAATGCATGTGAACACATACACGTTTACGGGGATGTGTGAAATGTAGCGCAAAGGAGAGAGACCATGGGTGTGCTGATACATGTAAGAGAGAAGTAATAATACACTGCTGTCTCTGCATAAGAATTAACATCTAAATATGAAGAGAGATTCTTTGTAGTATGCAGGTATGTTAGCTTGGGCAGGTATATTTTAGTCATGGCCAAAGGGCTGCAAGGCTGTGATTGAGGGGAATCCCACTGTTGACCTTAAAGGAAGTGGTGTTCCACGGAGTTCCCTTGGGGAGTGCTGGTGGCAAGTAAGTCGTGTTGTTGCAGCTGGCCTCACTAATCCCTTTAACCTAGTAAATACAGCAGCTACATGTGTTTATTGCTACCCTTTTGTGTCCCACTGTAGAAGAAACCGTCAAATCCTTAGCCCTACTCTGGAAGTTTATTTTTTCCTATAGGACAAGATTTAAGGATACCTCTGGCAAAGGCTGGAACTGGAGCAGGGAGGTGTATATAGCTTTTCATGAACTGTCCAAGGAGTTCTAGAAGGAAATATTTCTATGAGAAGTGAGCCCTTGTCTGTACCATTAAACCCAGAACTACATGGAGAGGCGAAGTTCTCTATTTTGTGACTTTCCTAGATGAAACGTGAGCACTTGGTGATGGCCTTTAAAGGCCACTTTGCTGTAGCAATCCGTGAAACTGCTTATTCAACTAGTTTTGTGTTCACCCTTAATTGCATTTGTTTCCTTGATTTGAAGTATTTGTTGAGCTCTCCTGTTGGGATTGCCTTTGTGCTGTTTGATTTAGAAAAGAGGCCCCTTGGGATCACAGCGTTAGTGTATGAGCAAGAGTCAGATAAAGCAAGGGCTTAGATGAACAGTTCAAGTTTCCTTATCTGTCTCACAGGGAATGTCTCCTTTTGTGAGAACAGAGAACACAAGTGATCTCTCCAGCCTGTGTTTTAACTCAGGTCTGTAAAGCAGTCACCCTGCCATGTATAAGTAAACGTGTAAAAGTCGTCTGCCTTAGTCAATTGAAGTGCTTGTGCTGAATTGGCACATCTGCCAAAACAGAAACTAGAGGAGGTGAGAGCAGTGAAACTATTAACCACCATTTTTCAGGTCAAAACAGCTCTCTCAATCAGGATTTTAAATCCCTGGGGAAAAGGTTTGTTTAAGCCAGAGCTTTACCTCTGAAGGAAGTCAGTTGTGGGTGTTCAGTATCTCCTCAGGTAAGGTTCTTAAAGCGTTGTGACCTCTGATGGCAGCTGAGCTAGAAAGTAGGAAATCCTGTGGATTTTTTCCTAAAGCAAAAGAGACAGCATATGTGTGCGTGTGTGTGTGTCAGTCTGTGTCATGCTTTGCCTCAGAACCACAGACGTGGATGCCATGGGATTAAGTGACAGGGCCACAGATTTATTTAATACACATAAGAAATTGCTGTGGTCAGGATACTTCAGGTCCTCTCTTTGTGAGCCTATATCACATATTAAAAGGATACCAAAATCCTTTGGGCCACTGTGTTGGTCCAAGAGTTAGGAGATCTCACCCAAAGTGTTTCCCAAGACGTGAGGCCACCAGTCAGCTGCCTGCCATGGGCTGGCTCTTGGCCAGCACTAAAGGCTTAGCAACTTGGCTCCCTGTCGTCTAGCTCTGGGGGGCAGATGTTGGCCGTTCAGCTTCACTAAACCCTGCAGCTGGTCATCTTACGTTGTAACCAGATACATCTGCACTTGTCCTGCATAGCTTCTGGTTTTGTTGATGCTGTAAACAGAGTGAAAGATCTGGTAGACGTTGACCACTCTGGCCTCCCTCTGCAATCACAGCCTGTCCTGTCAGAGGCTCGCTGCTCTTCGCTGTCATATCCTGCATGGATGGAGGAGGGTGAGATGCCACTGGTTTGTTCCAGCTTTGGGAACCAAATGAAATAATTTCTAAGAGACACACTTAAACATCAGTAAATTGGCGCTTCAACCTTCTCCTGTCGCTTTACCGGGCCTGGCAAGTCCCTGCTTGCTCACCACATGTGGTGTTTTGACAAACAGACTTTAATCATCGTGCAACTGGTACTATGTATGCAGAGGTGCCTGATGCTAATGCTTTGGGATGATTTCATTCCATGTCCTGAGGCCTTGTTTAATCTCAAATTTATACTTGTCTGGGTGACTGCCTTGATCCTGTAGTGGAGACACGCTTTACACTCGCTCAGTTTGCACCTTATTGACTGACAGAGAGCCTATCTGGGCTCTCTCCCCTTCTCTCCATTTTGTTGGCTCAGATCACAATGCAGTTGCCAAATGAGCTGGACCAAGGAACTCATCTGGCTGAAAATTAACCCCATTAAGAAACTGAACAGTTATTTTTCTGCTGTGTTGGCTTCCTGCTCCAACTTGCCTATTCTGCCTGTGCTTATGCCAGCACAGGGAAGAGGTGGGTGTGAGTAAGCAGGAGTATGCGATGGCCCTCCTGGCAGCAGCTGAGACCAGTGATCAGCTTGAGTATTTATGTAATTATGGCCTAAGCTGCTCTGCATCCTTGGGAAAGTCACTCTGCTACTGTGTGCCCCCAGCTTCTCATCCGTAAAATGAAGATTATAGCATTCCCACATTTTTTGCAAGGCATTTTAAGATCCTTAGATAAAAGGCTTTACATTACTGCAAAGTTCTCATTGAGTTTGGTCAGAGCATATGCTATTGGCTTGGACTGAGAAGACCTTTAGCAACACAAATGTGTTTTGTTTCAAGTGTCAAGCATGAAGGATGGTTAATGTTCTGCTTTATCTCCATTTTATCCATGTTTATTTTTTTTACTTTCCTAGTGTGAGTCATAGCTTGTTTAATGCCATATCTTAAGGATGAATCTTTGGGATCAAACAAAAGTACTTTTGGGATGAGTCAAGATCAGGGTGTACAGAGGGGAGGGAGAGAACTGTCAGTTACCGATACTATCTCCATAAGTTTCATTTTTCTTCCTGCCACAAAACACTGTCCTTGAGTGCCACAGAACTCATTTCTGTGAGAAAGAGGATAGAATAAGGAGCTGCTTGACACCTGGGTAGTGTGACTGACAGTTCTGCCTTTCTGTGTTTTGCCTACACATACCCATATGACACTGAAGAAAAAGTAACTAAAGTCTCAGACTTTGATCTCCTTTGCACCAGTACCATGCTGAGTAAACTCCAGGCAAGTTAATAGAGCTATACCAGGGCAAAAGGGGTGTGAAATCAGAATTAGGTACAGTTGTATTCTACTCTGCTTGATTAATAATTGACCATTACAAATATTTTTCTTAAATGCTGTTAGTTTAATTAGGTCCTTCTCCCAGTTGCTTTGCCTAAGGTTTTAAGTTTAATATAACAAGAAAAGCTGTTTTGTTTGAATGGCCTGGTGCTGGAGCTGTAACATCCGTTGAACTATTAAAGGAAAGAATCCACACTGGAGAGGAAGAGAAGTCACTGAAAATTTAAGCAGATTGGAATTATAAATGCTTAGTATTGTTGAGTCTCCCTCTGCCTTTGTTTTTACATGAGCAGCTTCCATTCCTGGTGTCAGGTGCACCCTTGCGTGCTATTTTACACTGTGTTATGTGCCATATATTTCAGACTGCTGTGGGATGAGTATTGCCCTTTCGGGACCTACTCATGCACAAGTTATGTACTTCAGAAAATTATCCCTTGGAGAAAAAGGTAATTAAATGAGTGCAGCCAATGTTCTAGGATTTAAGCTTTGGGGAGGATAAACAATGCTGGCCGAAGAAGCTAGTTCTGTTGCAGTCTGTCGTACACTGAACTTGAGTGGGAGTTGTGCATTTCTTTTGGTTTGTGTTACCATTTGGAAGATATCAGTTTTCTGGGGACAGTATTACTAATAAAATAATGCATCCTGTCAGTCACTTTCTCTTTTTCCCCTTTACACAGGGTCACCCTGGGCAATCTGGACCTAGAGGTCTGCCTGGCGTTGATGGCTGCAATGGTACCACTGGGAGTCCTGGCTTTTCTGGATCAGATGGGTTTCCTGGCCTACCTGGGCTGCCTGTACGTCCCAACTTGAATATGGTGTTTTGTACTCACTAAACCAGGATTTGCTTTTCATGCCATTGTTGGAAAAATAACTCCCAAATACTTAGGAAGAACCCTGATAACCCTAAGTTTATTAGCATTGTTAGAGCTCGGTATCATTTTCTTATTGAAATTCCACTCTGACAGTAAAATGAAGACCCTGTGAATTCAGTATGCTCCCACACCAAGTTATACCATTGTCACTGGCGTTATTTAAGCTAACTCAAAATAAACCATGATACAGTTTTTAAGAACCATGAAGTGTCAAATATCTTCCACCTGGCACATTTCAAGTTAGGGTCTGCTGATTCAGGAAAAGAGCTTGTCACATGCTCAAGTCTATGCATCAGATATCAGATGCCTTCCTTCAGGTCTTAAGACGGCCAAAAGCTTCAGTCTCACTCAGCGTCAATAGGATTTACTTTCCAGGATATGTGTTTTACTTTCGAAAACACTTTTCTACCAGGTTGGAGTTTTGTCTAGCCTGCGTTGGACACCTTAAAGTTAGGTGTCTAATCTGTTCATCTGGGCTCCCCTCTTACGTTGGGTGGTACTTGCAAGAGCACTTCTCCCCCTCTGCCTTTCAGGATGAATTCTCTTTGAAGATACCCATTTTTCTGCATTCACTGTAGAGGAAGTGAAGGTAGCTGGGTCATGGTCTACACTCTGTTTTAAGTGGGTAGGACTAATAATAACAACTCCACTCTTAGATGCTTTTGGGAATTATAGTCTCTTACAAGTGTAAGCACTTTATAAGTGAAGCGTGAGCAAAAAATATTTCACTTGATATTAGAATATTTGACAAATGTTTGAATATTTGTTCGCATTCGAAGCCTGATGTTACACACACGGGTCGTGTGGCTAATCGTACACGTAATGGAATGCCTTTGCACCTGTACATGAAGAAGAGGAAGAAAATACAGCTGGCAGATGTAAATAATGCCATTTATTTCAGCATTTCTAAACTGTGCTAAGACATCTTTATGTGTCATCCGGACTTGAAATTCATATGATGTTGAAAAATACTGAAGCAATAAGATCAAATTAAAGTACTGCTTTCTAAAATAACTCTTTTACTCATACCTGCTGCTCAAACTTCTACTTTGTAATGCTTGTAGGATTACATTTTTGGCAAGGAAAACTGCTCGGATCAGCCAGCTCCTCTCAAATTAAGTTGGCAATTAATGAAATCATCTTAGATAAATTGGATGGGATGATCAAGATTAAAATAAATTGGGTAAATCTAGAATTATAATGGCAGCTTTTTCAGAAGATTCATGTAGTCTATCAGGTTTTTCCCTCATTGATTAAAAAAAAAATGGTGATTTACAGTGTTAAACAAGAGATAGACTCAGAATGGTTTGGGTTGGAAGGGACCTTAAAGACCATCCAGCTCCAACCCCCTGCCATGGGCAGGGACACCTTCCACCAGACCAGGTTGCTCCCAGCCCCATCCAGCCTGGCCTTGAGCACTGCCAGGGAGGGGGCAGACTGCCAGGGAGGGGGCAGCCACAGCTGCTCTGGGCAACCTGTGCCAGTGCCTCACCACCCTCCCAGGGAAGGATTTCTTCCTCATCTCTAACCTAAATCTCCCCTCTTTCAGTTTGAAAGCGTTACCCCTCGTCCTGTCACTACCCTCCCTGACAAAGAGTCCCTCCCCACCTTTCCTGCAGGCCCCCTTTAAGTACTGGAAGGGCACTAGGAAGGTGTCCCTGGAGCCTCCTCTTCTCCAGACTGAACAACCCCAACTCTCTCAGCCTGTTCTTGCAGGGAAGGTGCTCCAGCCCCATGATCATTTTCATGGCCTCCTCTGGACCCGCTCTGTGTCTCTCCTACTCTGGGGGCCCCAGAGCTGGACATAGCACTGCAGGTGGGGTCTCAGGAGGGTGGAGTAGAGGGGCAGAATCACCTCCCTTGACCTGCTGGCCGTGCTGCTCTGGATGCAGCCTGAGATGCGATTGTCTTTCTGGGCTGTGAGCACAGGTTGCTGGGTCATATGTAGTTTTTCATCCACCAGCACCCCCAAGTCCTTCTCTGCAGGGCTGCTCTTGATCCACTCATCACCCAGCCTAAATCCACGTTTGGCTTTGCCCCAGCTTAGGTGCGGGACCTTGCACTTGGCCTCGTTGAACTTCATGAGGTTCGTGTAGGCCCACCTTTCCAGCCTGCAAGGCCCCCCTGGATGGCTTTGATATGTATATGAACAGGAGGGTTACACCATGTCAAACAGATTCAAATAGGATCTTAGAAGTTGTCAAAAGCCTAAAATAAAAGGGAATTCTAATATAAACAGGAAAATACCAGAGAAAATGTTTGCAGAACCTTGTTTTTCTAAAGCAGCAGG